TTCCTCCACATCATCTTGAACCCATAAAACCTGAAGTGATTTCTGAGCACAACGGTGTCCCGGGCTGTATTTCTTGTCGCAACGGAAGCATAGACCTTTCGCACGTTTTTGCTGCATCTCTTTATCGGCCATCTTTTTGAAAGTAGGAGGTGGGGCCTTAATAATAGGGGCTGATGAAGAAGGAGGGATTGCAGCACGTGCAGGTCGGGTGACAGCAGGAGTAGTCACTTGCGAAACCCGTGAGTTAAAGTGGGTTCCAAAGAGGGACGTTGTGGGCCCACGAGGAAATGAACCTGATTGATAAGCCCATAAGGCTTGATTCTTCTCCTCAATTTTCTGGGCTGCAACCATTTTTCTGATCAGCCCAACGGGTTCCATCTGTCGGAGTTCGGCCTGGATATCTGGGTGCAACCCATTAACAAAGGCTGCTTCAAGGACTGATTCTGGCAGGTCACGTAAGGGAGCGGAGAGCACCTCGAATTGGCGACGATATTCCTTAACAGTAGAAGACTAATGTAACGAGAAGAGCTGCTCCTGTAAATTACCTTCCTGAGTTGATCGAAAACGTTCAAGGAGGAGTTCCTTGAATTCTGCCCAACTCCGAAAAGGTCGCCGACCATCCTCCCAATAATACCATGCCAAAGCATCACCCTCTAAACAGACCACGGCCGCCCGCAGTCGTTCTGCCGGAAGCAAGCCATTAATCTCAAAATAGCGCTCCGCGCGATAAAGCCAGCCGTCTGGATTTTCCCCATCAAAAATAGGCAACTCCAACTTCCGAGGAAGTGGATCAGAAGTATGTTCCGGCACTGACATTGAAGAAAACGTCGGGAAAGTTGCACTCTTCCCTTTGTCTGCCGCACAACTTGATGTGGCTACAGGAGGAGCAATGTCAGTTGTAGACAAAGGAGCTGAAAAGGTCTGTTGCTGAAGCAACAGATCAAAACGTCCTACCAGGTCTTGAACGCCTCCCTCCAAGGATGAGATCTTCGAAAGTCCTGCTGCTATCTTTTCTGGATCAAGTCGCTGAATCTCATCATGTAAGCCATCCACTTCAGAATGCAGAGAAGTCTAGCGTTCTTCGAAACCCTCCACCTGCGATGCCACTTCCTTAGCTGTCACCATGGCCGAAGAAAGATGCGCTCTGATACCACTGATATGACCCAGAAATTTGACACGCAGTTCACAGACTTACAGCAGCGTTCACACACTCGAACATCAACAAAAGAAACTAGTATTCATTCAGCAGAAAACATTAACAGTTGGTCGGTTCTTCGAGAGACCGCCGGCTCTCCCAAACACTCACAATATTCTTTACTCAAAGAAAACATACCACCCCCATCCCCCAAAGCCCCTTCTTATACTCTWYTGRTAGCATAACTGACTCCCTCTATAAATGCCCAGCTGGCCTAGTTATAAATGCCCAAAAACTCTTCTTATTCATAACTGACAGCTATAAATGCCCCAAGACTCTCCTTATTCCCTCCAGCTATAATTGCCCTCATGTGATTAATTGTTCAATTATTTCCCCCCCTTAGCTGATTGTTGACCTTTCCTCTTCCTGNACTCTCCTTATTCCCTCCAGCTATAATTGCCCTCATGTGATTAATTGTTCAATTATTTCCCCCCCTTAGCTGATTGTTGACCTTTCCTCTTCCTGGCATTAATTGGGGCCTATCATAAGCTTATGATATTAGTCTATTTTTACCACTTGTGTCAAACTCTCTTTCAGTTGGTCTTATACAAAGATTAAAATGTCAATATTTGTGGAAATGTCGGTTATCCACATATAGCAAACATGTCAAAAATGTTGCAAACATCATACGAAAATATTTTAAAAATTATAGACATGGTGGAAACATTGTAAAATATGCAAAAATATAGAATGATATTTTATGAGATGAATCAATGACAAAAGAAGCATAAGCTGGCCTTTTTAAATTATAACCTTGTTCCAAATCATTAAACAAGGCTAAAAAACTAAGGTTAAAGACAAAATAATACATTGTGAAGTTGTCTTGTAAACCTTAAGATTAAAAACTACATTATAGAACTTGTTAAAGCAGAATTTAAACTCATAGAAAGTGATATTGATTCTGTTAGATCAACTAAATAATCTATTACACAAACAAAACTAATATTTAAGTTCATGTTACATGAATATCAAGCTGGCTCAAAGTGGTAATCATGTACATTAGGCAGGAATAACATTGCTACTTCACATATCTACAATATTATCACCAATTTATGTTATAATACTATCTCTTGCATTCCACATAGTGCTGGTAGTGTTTTCTGGGGAATATTCAATTCTAATAAAATTTTCTGTCACTACCCATGGGAATGGAAATTTGTTGTGGAAATATTAGGAATTTTATGGACATTTTAAACCATGGTCTTATATTTCAACACCTCCAATGGATCTTAACAACCTTTCATCCTACAAATTTCATCCCAAAAGTCCATTAAAAACCTAGTTTCTGCAATTTTGACAATTATTCTCACAATAAAAAATGTAGGCCTTTTGTGGAAAACTTGTGCTGCTGTAAAATTAAGGTTATGTTTGGATAGGCTTCATGCTTTGCACTTTCAAAAGTATGAAAGTGCAAAGCACACATTCTGCTTCAACTTTTGTACTTTTACTGTGAAATGCATTTTGCAAAATATTTTTTTCAAAAACATACTTCTCAAAGTACAAGTAGAACATGGCATTTGGGTTATTGGAAATATGGATGTCATGTGGCAGTTTTGTTATATCCAAATGCAATGTGGCATTTATAAACTGCCATAACACCCATATATGCTGCCATGTGGCACAAACACATCGCTAAATACATTCAAATGCCATGTGTCATCTATATATGTTGCCACATGGCACAAATGTGTCATTGAATACATTTAAATGCCATGTGTCATCTATATATACTGCATAATTGCACATGTGTCATTGATGCCATGTGGCATCCATGTATGTTGCCACTTGGCATAGGCATGTTATTGAATACATTCAAATGCCACATATCATCCATTTATGCCACCACATGCCACACACACCATTGATGTCATGTGGTACACAATGTCACTAAATACATTCAAAATTATCTTGAACAATAGGAGGTGAGAAAGAGGAAACAACTATAGCACTCCAACCTCTAACAAAGTCAACATAAGAGAAGTCCTTGAAAAGATTCAAAGCTTTCAACCAATGACTGATCTTGATGGTTATGCCCTCAACATGTGCTTGGATTTTTCTTGCCCTTGAAAGATCTTGTGGTTTCTTTCTTCCCAAATTGACCACAAGATAGATGCTCTTGTTCTCCACATCACCCTACCTCTTCTTTGGTTGTTGGAAGAAGCTAGAGTCAAAAAGGTTCACCACACTCGAGGGAGGAACCCACCTACAACCATAGATTTCAAGGCGCCAAGACGAGGCTAGGCGACAGGGGGGCACCTGGTCGCCTAGGTGATGGATTTTTTTATGTAGAAAACATAGATCCTAGGGTAGTTCCCTAGGTACCATAACCATATTTCCTTAATAATTTTCATAAGAAATACCAATCCATGAGTATTTACTAACACCTTATGCCACAAGTTGTCCTGCTCTAAGAGAAATCTCCATAACCACTTTCCTAACAAGTCTAAGTTTCTTAACCTAATATTGCCAATGCCTAAGCCCCCATGTTCCCTTCTTCTAGAAACTACTTCCCACTTTACTAAGTGATCCTTTTGTGAGTCTCTTGGTTCCCAAAGAAAATCTCTCAAACTTTTTAATCCAATTTAAAACCTTAACAGGTAGTTTGAAGGTGGGTAAGAAATACTTCCCACTTTACTAAGTGATCCTTAATAGGTAGTTTGAAGGTGGGTAAGAAATACACTAGTACATTGGCCAAAGTAGACTTGATTAAAGTAATTCTACCCCCTAGTGAGATGTAATTTCTCTTCCACCCAACTAACCTCTTTGTGAATCTTTCCAAAACTGGGTACCAGAAGCTTTTTGACCTAGGATTTCTCCCCAAAGGAGGCAACCCCAAGTAAACCAAAGGCCAACCACTTACCTCACGGCCTAAAGATCTAGCCACAGAAAGCACCTCTTCTTCCTGCCTATTTACTCCCACGACATAGCACTTACTCAAATTGATTTTCAAATTCAAGGCCCTCTCAAAGTGTCACTAAATATCCAATTATCCATTTCCTTTAGATCCCTTTCATAAAAAAGTACTAAATCCAATCATCTGCAAATTGTGAGTAACAATTATTTCTTGCCTCCCAACTCTCCAACCTCTAATTAAAATCCTTGAATCAACCCTGGAAATTAAGACACTTAAAGTCAACCCAAAAGTAATTGTAAGTAACAAATACTTCAGCAAATTGTGAGTAACAATTACTTCTTGTCTCCTTGTCTAAGGCCCCTCTTAGTAGGAAACAAATCCCTAACTACACCATTTACCAAGATGGAGTAGTGACACATAGTGATACATTCCTCAATCCATTTACACCATCTCTCTCCAAAACCTCTATTCCTCAAGACTTCTAGCAATAAATCTCAGTCCACCAAATCATAAGCCTTTTATAGATCAAGTTTACAAATCAGACCCATCTCTTCTTTTCTTTTCCTGTATCACACACACTCATTGTTGGTCGCAATGATTCAGCATCATCTATATGGATTTATAAACCAAGAAGCAAGATGGATACCCCAAATACCTTTCAGTTTTTCCTTTGTAATGACTATTTATTTCACTTGCTTATTTCTTCCCGATACCTCTCTAAAGGTTTTTTTTTATTTGGGAGTAAACAAACTATCACTTCTCATTAGGGGGTCATATTGGTCAGGCTTAACACCTATAGTAAGTGCTAATGCTTGGGCCTAGGGCATCCAGGCCTATAATTTTAACCATATATGTTGCAAAGATATGATACCAAAACAACTTTGACCAATCAAAACACCCCCAGTTAATTTTGATGAATACCAGCTTATTGGTTACCGGTTGATTGGTTATAAGTTTTTTAGTTATCATGCCTTTCCGGTATCATAGTCGGACTACATACATACATATAAAATGTATATGTATTATATATGTGTCATATTATAATATTTATATAATATAAAATATAGTTCTAAATAACACACATATGATCACCCCTACTTCTCATATACAAAAGGTTAACAAAAAGAAAATAAAAATGCACAAGAAATGATAGATAGAATTGGGACAAGAAGGAAAGAAAATAGGTTATAGGTGGCACAAGAACTGACCTGAGAAGCCAACTCAGCGGTTGGTACCAATATTACTACTCGAGGACTTCTTGATGAGGGATTACCAAGTCCTTGTAGCTCTTCCTGCCTAAGACGCTGTACCACTGGTGCAAGATATGCTAATGTCTTTCCTGATCCACTTTGATCAGCAATAATGCAACTCTTTCCTTCAATAACAGGAGCAAATGTCATGCCCTGCAGTATGTCAACATGCGATCAGTAAGTCCCAACTCCCAAGAAAGGGAAAATAAGTCTTAACAAAGGAGTGGATATGTGCTTTTGATCAATGGAAAACTGCTGCAGTCCTCCAAGCATGAATTGTAACACTCTGGTACATTAATCCTGTAGAGGATATGGTTGCATGAAGTTCCCCTTCAGGGATGATGGAGGATATAATGGTGTTTCTGTAAAACAGGTTAGACATTTAGGGTTATTTTTCACTCTAGGTTTATATGGGGCCATTCTTTAATTTTAGGTTGTTATGTATTAGAGGCTTATTAGTTATTATATAAGTCAGTGTATTCTTTCATTCTTTGATAGTGGCTTGATCTATCCCTTTCCATGGATGTACGCTTTCAAGATAAACCATATAAATCTTATGTGTATTTGCTCCCTTGTTTTCTATCAGAATTTGATTTGTCAAACTTTGCTCATCTGAACTATTAGGATCTTATGTACTTTGAGAAGAGTGGTGGACAGTAGAATTTGGAAACCTTCCCCTTCTGGTGTGTTCACTTGCTCTTCCTTTTTTGATATCCTCATTCAATCATCAAACCCTGTAAGGAGCTTTCCTTCAAAGGAGATTTGGTGTCAGCCTGTACCCCCAAAAGTTCAGGCTTTTTGTTGGGAGGTGGTTATCCAAAAATCAATACTCTAGTTTTGTTGCAAAGAAAAAAGCCAAATGTTTGCCTATCACCCCATGTTTGTAGCCTCTACTTGGGTTCTGGTGAGACGACCACACACCTATTGATTTCTTGTCCATTTGTATGCTTTATTTGGACTTGGTTCTCTTCTATCTTTGGTTGTAGGTGGACACCTCCCCCAGATGTGGCAAGCCTTTTTGACCCAAGCTTTTTCAGGCAACCGAAGAGGCGTGGAAGATTAATGTGGAGAGCCACAAGAGCAGTTATCTTATGGTCAGTTTGGAAAGAAAGGAATAATAGAATCTTTAAAGGCGTGGAGAAGTCCAAGGAGGCAATTGTAGAAAGGATAATTATTATGACTATTCATTGGTTGAAAACTTTGGATTTGTTTAAAGACTTCTCAGCTGAAGACATTTACAGGAATTGGGAAGTGGTGGCTTCTACAACTTCCATGAAACCTATTGTGCAGGAGTTGTGGTCCCCACCAACACAACAAAGAGTGAAGTTGAATTTTGATGGGAGTTTTCAGAGATGAAGATGGCAGAATTGTGGCTTTGTTTTCAAGACCAATAGGAGTGGGGGGACTCATTGAGAGCGTTGGTAATGGCCTTGCTTCAAGGTGTAAGATATGCAAAACAGTTGGGGTTACACCAAATTGAGATTGAGGGAGACTCTAAACTGTTGATCGAGTGGGCTGCAATCTGGTAAGTTGGGAGCCTGGATTTATAGACAGCCCATAAGGGAAATCCGCAATACAACAAGGGAGATCAGTGCATGCTTCAAATGGACAAGGAGATCAGCTAATGGTTTAGCTGACACGTTGGCTAAACAAGGGACTGTGAGGGAGAGTATGTTCTGGGCAGTTTTGTAAGAAAGATAACTGGGGCTCAACACCTACTTGGGGGTTGACAGCTGTACTTAATTCTGGAAAGTTATTTTAAAGTTATTTAATGAAGTTACCATTTCCAATCAAAAAAAAAAAAAGAAGAGTGAGTAGGAGTTAGAACCAGACACTTGAATATCACTTGGACTCTTGGTTTTCTCATACAGTTTAGTCAAATGACTTATCCTAAGAGTCTAGATAATGATCAGAACATTTGGGCAAATTTTAAGGACTATTTTTAGTCACTTGGGAGATTTCTGGCTTGCTGAAATTATCAAAAGTTGGCAGCAGATTCCATAGTTCATCTTCAACCTTGGCATCTGTTTGCTTTTGGGTCCCTGAGATTTATTTATTTTTATCAGAAACACAGAAAATCATTCATTAAATACTTGGGTCCCTGAGATTTTCTGTTGCCTTGGTGCCTCTAATCACTAGATAAAACCTGATTTGAAAGTCAGTACCTTAGGCTTCAAAAAAATAGGCTTCAATTGAGCCTATTTTGGAATGCTTACAAAGCTATTTGGTGGTATTTCTGTCTATTTCCTAAACGCTATCAAATCCTTGGCTCAAGAGGATTAAGAAAAGCATTTCTCAGGAACTTAGGTGTCTTTGATCAAACTTCTGTTGGAGATTATATGGTCAGTACATTTTATAAGAAGCAACTTGAATATTCGAAAGAGGTATTGAAGAAAGGAATTTAAGGTCAGGGTTTTGATTGTTTTGGTGTGTGGCATTATTGATTTGTATATTCTTGTTCATTTATTCTCTTTTTTATGGATTTTCCTTCCAGTCATGCTCTGGTTGTCAAATTGGATTTCTGTTCTTTAGATTAGTGGCTTTTTCCCATCAAGAAGTGAGTTAACCATTCATAAGAACTGGAAAATATTCTAAAGATATCTCTGGTAGCCCCCAGCATGTAAAGCAGTATCTCATTGACAGACCATCCTCATAACATTTACAAAATAGGTAGCTTAGACTTCCTAGTCAAATAACATGAATCATTTTGCACATCTGTTCAAATGACTATTTATTCACATAAAATCAAAAGAAACATTACATAAATGTAGTAAAGTACCTGAATATGTGAAGGGCGAATAAATGACTGAGCTCTTAGAGATTCAATCATATAGTCACTGTACCCCAGATCTTTGAATGATTTCCGGCTAAAAAAACCACTGTCAGTGGACAATTTGCGCTGCTTCTTTAAAAGGTTCAGTGAACCAAATCTCGAGTTCTGCATGGGTTCACCATTACCCCATTTTCTTAAGTAGGCAGTGGGAGCTCCTGAGACTGAATGGAATGGTTCAGCATCTTCATTATCATGCTCGTGAGCTTCCGATGATGTTGTTTGGTTTCTAAAAGGATGTTCTTGAGTTACTTCAGAACTCCTTGTGCCTGGTGGTACCTCAGAACCTTGAAACATATCTTTGATTTTTTCTGACTGGGAAGCTCTTGACATTCTCACAATATGTCTGAGATGACCTGTACTTTTATTTTTCTTGGCGAATTCAATTTCTGGATCTGAAATATCGGATAAATTGGAATGCAAGTTTTCTGCGCCTGACTCCCTATGAATGGATCCTCCAGTTTCATGCTTAGTCCTAGAAGATTTTCTGATCATAGCTCTTACTTGTGGGGCTTTTAGTCTGCCAAAACTTCCAGGCAAGCTCCGGGTATGTGAGGTGGACTCATCACCATTCACAGCGGTTGCAGCAAGATCTATTCCTGTGGTATCAAAGGAAAGGGGAATGAATGTAAACAAAAGAGGAGGAGGAGGAGAGAGAGAGAAAGAGAGAGAGAGAAAGAGAGAGAGAGAAATAACTTGAAATTGCTGTATTCTGTTGGGAAGTCTACTACGGGAAAATCAATACCTTGGAAAACTTGCAGAAAAAGAGACCCTCTCTATGTCTCTCCCCAAATTGGTGTTTCTTGTGCAAGGCCCAGAATGAGGACTGTTTCCATTTGCTGATTTCCTGCTCCCTTGCTACAGACTTATGGAGTTGGAGCCTTAATTTATTTGGAGGGAGGTGGTCTCCGCCAACTGATTTGAGTATGTTATTTAACCCTTCTTTTTTTGTTTGGCACACTAGAAGAGGCAAGTTCATGTGGAAATGTGTCAAGGCAGCAACCTTATGGACACTATGGGAGGAAAGGAATGCAAGAGTTTTCTTAGAGAAGGAAAAGATTAGAAGAAGGGAAGGACTGCATTCTAACAAGAGCAATACATTGGCTGAAAACCTTGGAGATATTCGATGATTTCTCTTTTGATGATTTGTGGAGGAATTGGTTAGTAATAGCTAATCCTTCTACAAAGAAGAACAAATGCTTATCAGAATGGGATCCGCCGTCAGAAGGTATCATCAAGTTAAATTTTGATGGAAGCAGCCAAGGTAACCCTGGGCCATCAGGTATTGGGGGTATCCTGAGGAACAAGGACAGCAACATCATCTCCTTATTCTCAGGACCGGTGGGAGTGGGGGACTCTATGAGGGTGGAAATACTAGCTGCAGTACAAGGAATTCAGATTGCTAAGCAGCTTGGGGTGGAGCATCTCCTAGTTGAAGGGGACTCTCAGGTGGTAACAAGGAGGCTGCTTAACCCGGATGCTACCATTTGGGGCTACAAAGAACTCATCAAAAAAGTAAAGTGGTTAACTAGGAACATGAGATTTGAGGTAAAATGGGTAAGTAGGTCAGCTAATACTATGGCTGCTTCTCTGGTTAAACAGGGAGTATCCAGGGAGGTCCTTTTTTGTGCTATTTGTAAGTTGTTATAATATAGTGGAAGCTATACTTAACTAACCAGGAGAGGTTGCATCTTGTGCCTCTCCTTGGGACATTGTACTATTCTCCTCTGCTGATTAATAAATCTCATTCATTTATCAAAAAAAAAAAAAAATAGATGATAAGAATAAGATGCTCTCCCTGGATTACAAATCTACATTGTGTGTCAGATTAGATGTTAATGTTATCAAGTATTACCCATACAACTTAGTATTGAGAACTTTCACATGTTCTTAAAGAAAGCCAATTGATTAACAACACTCTTTGAGTTTTTTCAAATCATCTAGAGCCTTCCCCTATTTATTTGTTACTAGCAAATGTGCACATTCTTTGCATGTGGAAATTTTAGATGATGATGATGATGATACTAATAATATGTGAAAATTTTTATATTTTTTATATTTCTATGTGTATAAAAATAACTCTTATTTATCCCACTAATTTTTGTTTAATATGATGAATATATAATGTTAGAGATGTGTGCAAATGTTTTCTACACATTTTACATAATTTTTTGTGTTCTTTATCATTTTGTAACTTTTACTGTTTATTTATAACATCAAGGTTTGACCCATTTGACCTGGATAGTTGAATTGCTTACCCACCACCTAAACAGAATAATAGTTCATTTTAGGGTCAGTTTAAAAAAGGGAGGAAGAGGGAAGAGAAGCAGTAGAACACAAGAGTTGTAAAGGAGGAGAAGAAGCTTGATGTTCTGCTGCCGCCACTTTAATTAATATTTATAGGTTATGCTCATTACATGGAAAGGACAGATCTGCCCTTAGTCTTTACATAACAAATAGAGCAAAAATAAGACTGAAATAAATAATAACTGAAACAACTAAATGACCAATAGCTAACCCTAGGCAGACTAGAACACCTTCTACCCTACAAACACAGTGGGACCGTAGCTGTGGGGCCCACATCAGTGTT